TGTTGAACTTTGGTTTCTTGGATATAGGATATATTGCACTTTGTTTTCAAGTTTTTGGTATTGTTTGGAGAGTTATACATGCATTGAGTATATTTAGCAGAAGTAGTAGACTTTTATCTTCTAAGTGTTTGAGCATTTCATTGCTTATTTGTTGTGGCCTAGGAGCTTTGTTTAGTGGTGCTTCTTTTATAGCTGATCATAGTTCATCAGTTGATATAGTCTGCAATAGACTATTGTACCAATTTGCTTGTATGTATGTTAGTAGTTGATATTTTATTTGCTATTGTTTCTATAAAAGAGTATTAGGATTGTATTTTTTGTTTAATTTCTTTAGTTAATGAGTATATTCTGTCTTCTGTTTTAATGTTTTCAAAATACACAAGATCTGTATGTCGATTTAATATGCTGTTAATTATTTTTGTTGTATTTGTTTAAAAGTTGTTGTATTAGTTATTTATATGTTAGTTAATTTTTTCTTTATGTGTAATGTTATTCTCTGTTTGCCTTGCAGTATGTATTAATTTTTGTTGTTCTTTGAGTTGTTGTAAAAATTGATTGTATTGTGTTTGTGTTAAGTTGGATTAGTTGATTCTTAAAATTTGTGTTTTTGCTAACTTGTTTATTTTTGTTATAGATGTATTTGTATCTTTTGTGTTAGTTATATTATTGTTATTTTTTAATTTTCGTATTAGTTTGTTAATTTCTGTTAGAGCAATATATAGTTTTGTGGCTTGTTTTAAAAATGCATAATATGTTTTTGAACTTATTTTTGTTTTAGGTATATGCTTTTTTGCTACTATTGTAATTACAGTACTAAGCTGATTCCAAGCTTTGTTAAGTTCTTGTGTATTTGTAATTGTCTCTAAGATTTTTATAGCAAATAATTATCGATTAATTTCTTAAAAGTAGTCTTCTTAAGTATCTTTTGTCATTTTTTTGTATTTATATATCTAATATTTATGTCTTTTTTTATGTTGTGTTTTGATAGTTAGTTTAATTTGCCAATTGATTTTAAGTATTTAGTGATCACTGTTTGTTATTTCATTTGGTAATATTAGCTGAATTTTGTCACATTGGTAAAGAATTGTTGTTGGTATCTAAATATTGTCTATTTGGCTATGTTTGTTTTGTCTAATCCATATAAGTTCTATTATGTCAAAGTATTGTATTGTGCTTTTGAGTCCTTGTTTTTTCATCATTCTAAACATGTGTAGATCTTGATTAGATTGTTTTAATAAATTGTAGTTAAAGTCCCCTAGTACTATTGTGTCATAGTTTCTATTTGTTGCTTTTATAATCCATGTTGCTACTTTATTTTATGTGTCTGTATTAAGTTTTTTGTTATTTGAGAGCAGATATACTGAAATTATATAAATGTGTTTGTTATTAGAAAAGTAAAAGTCTAGTGTGATGACTATACCAGATAAAGTTATAATGTTGTGTATATATAGTTGTAATAAGGATATAATTGCAATTGCTGTGCCTATGCTTGCTTCTTGTTTAATCGCTGTGTTAGTATTGCAGTTTGCTATATAGATTTTATAGTATAGATTGGATAGTGTAAGTTCTAAGCATGTTGATTCTGCTAATTTGGTTTTGGTCATATTGATAATATAATATTGTAATTTTTGACAGAATTCGAGCCATATTTGAAATTTTAGTCTGTTGTTGAGATCTTGTATGTTGTGTGTTATAATGTTTAGATTATTTGTTGTTTGTATGCTATTGTTGATATTTTTGTTAATTTGGTGTTTTTGAGTCATGGTTGTTAGACAAAGATGTTCCATGTAGGTTCTAGAAGTGGAGGTAGTTTTAGTAAATAGTTGGGAATAGTAGATATGTTGAAGTGTTTTCAAAGTATTTTGAAAGTTGGTGTTATATCTTGTTGTTTTTCTTTTAGGATATTAATATATATTTCATTTGTAATTTTTTCTAATACTTCTTGAAGTTTTATTAGTGATTGTGACAGGTCAGGTTTTTTGATAATTTCTTGATTTGTTGTTGTCTTTTGAGTTATATTAATCCAGCTACTTGGAATTTTTAAGAAGTAGTATTCTTGTCTTAATAGTCTTGCTGTCTACAAGTTGTTTAGAAAAGATAATTGGTACTGTAATATTGAATTAAGTTATTTGTTTTAGTCTTCTGGTAGTCTTGGTTTGTCAGTTTGGTTAGCTGTCATAATGTCTGAACAGATTAGAAATATGACTCTATATTTTTTTTGACTTCTGTTAAGAACTTTTTTGCTTAAATGCCATCAGTTATAGAGTATGTATATATAAAAATAGTCTTAATATCTTTGGGTTGTTTTGGAAGAAATGGCTTTTGTTTAAAATAATCATTAGATATTGTTCTAAACTTATAGTGTTTGTGAAGTAGGTCTGCTACTTGTTGTATAATTATTTTGTTGTTTTTTGGATCAAAGGAAAACAGTGAACATACATGGCAGTTTAGCTAATAGTAAGTTGTAGGTAGTGATTCTTTTTCTGAAGGTAGTGCGAAGTAATTGGAAGGTATTTTTGTGAAATTATAGTAGTCTGCTAACTTATTTCTAAGATAGCTAAGACTTGCTAATTGTTTTGAGTCTGTAATTGGAAAGTATTGCTTTAGTTCTTCTTTTAACTCAGAAACATTTTGTGGTAGTTCAGATAGAGTTATGAAGTATGCATCAGGCAAAGTTTTAAAGTTAAATAGGATGTGAAGAGTAGTTGCTACTGCTCTTATTAGCAATTTTTTCTCAATTGGTAATTCAAATGATAGGATTTTGTTATTTCTGCATCTATGTTTTGGGACATGTCTGGTAGATCTTGTTTCTTTTCTTCATATGCTTAATATATTGCTTCTTGTATATGTTGGTTGTCTTGTATAGGTGTTGTTTTAATAAAGTTTCTGCAATATTTTATAACTTGTATTGCTTGGCCAGATTTAAGGTTTCTGAAGTTTAGATTAGTAAGATATTTAATGATTAATTTTTGTTAAAGTTTAAACTATATCTGATTTCTAGTTTGTTTGTTTGTTAAAGTAACTTTGTGTTGTGTTTTATATTTGTTAATTGCATTTTGTAAAAGGTTATCAAATTCTACTTAGTGAGCTGATTTGATTTGTTTGTTGTTAGTAAAAGATAAAAAAAAAGCAGTGTCACAATATTTAAATTTAAGAAGAATTGCTGCAGGTATTTGGTGATTCGTAAGTTGTATGTTTAGTTTATAAGAAATAAAATCTTTGATTCCTTTACTATTATTTAATGTTATAATAGTTTTGTCGATTGGCCAAGAGTTATGATTAAATTGGTCTTTGATCTTGTTATCTAGTTCTTGTATTACATGTTTAGACCAGCTTTGTATAACTTCATAAGCCTCTTGTTCATCGATTGTCATCTTATCTATATTTGTGTGTTGCTTTAGTGCTTGACTATAGGTAAGTTGTTGTTGATTATTAGCTATTTGTGTTGTTGCTGTGTTTGTGTTGCCTGTTAGTTTGGATTGATTGTTGTCAGTGCTTGCAGTTTGTATATTATTTGTGTTTTCTACATCCTTATTGTGAGTTTCTTGTTGCATATCTATGTCAGGTGTTTGTGTTGTATTATGTTGTGATTTCCTTTCTAAGATGTTTGTTGTGTTGTAATTGCCTGTTTCTGTTGTGTTTGTATTGTTATTACTATTTATAATAATTGTTGTTGTATTGGTATTTACACATGATGTTGTATTGTTTTTTGGCAGAGGTACACTAAGTTGCTTACTTTTTCGAATATTTTGATATTGTGTAGGAGTTTTGAGAGGATTGAAGTGACATTTTTTTTGTTGGATATTTGTTGTTTGTTCAAGACCTGTTTTACTATTTTGTTTATTCATAGTATATATGTTTGAGTTAGAGTTAGGAGCATATATTGGAATATAGTTATCTATTTGTTGTTCGTTTGGTTGCTATAATGAAACTAGGTCCTTGAAGGACTGGTTTGTTGTTGTTTTTTTTGTTTTTCTGTAGTAGGTGTTTGTTTCTGTTATATTATATGTTTCTGTGTTTATTGGCCTTTTGTTTTTGTTAGCTACTCTAAATTCTTCTTTCAGGATAGTTATTTCTTCTATTTTTTACTTTTATTTTTTTTATTTTTTGTAATTTTTGATGATCAGCAGAAAGAGTTTAAATTGTATTAAATTTTATGACAGGTGATAAAAAGAATTTAATATAAAAACTTACTTTTTAGCTTACTTTCTTTATTCAAAATATTGAAGAAAAGGTATAAAAAATTCAGTATTTTATCAAATTATGTATACTGCTCTTGAAATATAGAAAAAAATTAGTAAAGAAGAGTAGCAAGTACAAATATATTAGTAGTACAAATTAAAAAATATGATGCATGTGAACCATCATATAATTTTAGTTTTATAGAAAAGATTAAATTATCACAAATCTGGTGGAATGAGTGTAAATTAGAAAACTATTATTTGCAGAAACTTGCTTTATACTTACTAGCAATTACACTGCATAGTGCTAGTTGTGAATGTATTTTTTTAGTTTTAAGTTGGATTACTCAAAAAAGAAGAAGCAGATATATAGTTTATATATACAGTACAAGAATTTATTATATATATATTTATTTATATTTAGATCTGCTTTATTTTATCAATAATAATTTTACTAATAACTTATTTAGCAAACATTATATCACATCAGAAAGTTTTAAATAACATGTTGCATATCACATATTAAGATTTAATATATTGCAATATTTAATGAAGCCCCTATATTTCAATGTTTTTTAAATCAATAAACTAGAGTTTTTTTAAAACTTTCTGATATATACTATCCTTTTTTCTCCTAAGATCTGAATTCATATATCTCTAATATTGACTAAAATCTTTGTAAAATTCATTTCATAACTTGAGACTCTTTGCATTAACACAACTTATATTATGTTGACTAAATGAACTTTCAGTATTCTTATATTTTATAGATTAACTATAAAAAAAGTATCAAACATTATGAAATTATATACATATTATATGACCAATGCAAAAAATAAATTAAATTATTTTATACATAATATTTTGGAATTAGAGTTTGAACAAATAATGAAAAATTATTCAATTTCAATTGAATATGATGATGATATGTTTAATGATAATATTGAAGAATTTGATAGAGATTATGTTTCTGATAAAGATGATTTAGAGAAAATTATACAATTTGATTGTGAAAATTTGGATGCTAATGAAATAATAGATTTTGATACCTTTACAGAAAAACTAATAAATGAAATAAATTACAATAACAATATAGAAGCTGAGAAAGAACTTGATTATAATATTAATGAAGTTATTAACACAGCTATGAATAATACAAAATAAGAATTTTTTATATATTAATGTAGCATTGAATTTTAAATATTTTTATTGTAAAAAAATTTATTTATGATATTATATAAATATTTATTATATTTATTTATAAAAAATAAAATTATAACTTTTGCACTTTAATAATTTATTTTAAAAAAAAACTTCAAAAATTTCAAACACAAAATGTGTGAGAATTTAAAAACTTGATAATTAGTAATTCATATTAGTTAATCTATTTTAATTGTTACATATATGTATAAATTACATGCAAATGATTTTAATTTATTCAAAATAATACAGGTTTTGTACCTTGGCAAAAATTTTAAGAATATGCAAAAAAATTAAGAAATTACTATCTTTAGTAGTAAACAGATATACTTGATTATCTACATATCATGATAGCAACTATAATGAATTAAGAAAAAATAAATGAAAAAATGAAAATAATAAACAGATATATAAGTATAAATTAATAATACACAAAAATATAGTAAAAGATAATGTATAATAAAAATTAAAAAATTATTTTACAGCTATTTTCATAATTTCTGGAACACCTACTCATTATCCAAAATCTTTTTGATTATCTGATAAATTATCTAATTCTTCAGAAACTACATTGCTGTCTTTAGAACTTCAGTCTAAAGACAGTGATGTAATTTCTGGAAAGTTAGATAATTTACTGAACAATCGAAAAGATTTTAGATAATGAGTAGGTGTTTCAGAAATTATGAAAATAGCTATAAAGAAATATTTTAGACAGCCAATAATATTTTAGGCAGTCAAAAATATTTTAGACAGCTGAAAATATTTTAGGCAGTCAAAAATATTTTAGACAACTGATATTATTTACAGTTTAGGTAATCTAAAATATTTTTGGTATTATAGTATTACAGCAAGCCAAAAACAATTTAGACTCATATATATAAGAACAACAGTAGTGATAAAAGTAAAGAGAGAAGAAAGACAAGCATTTTTATAGGTAATTCTCTTAATAAATGAAAAATTAGCAAAAATAACAATAGGTGAAGAAGAAGAGAAAAAGAAAGAAGAAAGAAACCAATTTACAGCAAGATTAAAAAGAATACTAAAAGGAATTTCTGAACTAATTCTATTATAAGAACTCAAAACCAGAAAGGTAATAGCAGTATACATTCCATCAAACAGATGAAGAAGACCAAGAAGTTATATAGTAGTGTCATTTAAAAGTTAGAAAGATATGAATATAACTATCAAAAAAAAGATCTGGTACAATGAAGTCTTGATATTCTGAGAAGTTAAACCAAAAAGATTAGATAAAGAACCCTATAAAAGCAGTAGCAAGACACAAAAAATACAAAAAAAAAGAAGAAATAAAAGACTTTAACTTAGGAGAAGAGCATACAAATCTAGAAGAATATATAAAAAGAAATAAATATAGTACAAGACTGAATAATAGAAGAAATAAATAAGAAAATAGAAGCTATCAAAACAAAAAAAATGAAAAAAAAAATCTAGCAAATACAAACTAAAGAGAAAAAAGGCCAAGAAAAGAAATTGAAAATATAAAAAAGACACAAAAACAAACATCAGATATGAAGAACATATTAGGCCAAATACTAGAAAGACTAAAAAGATTAAAGATAGTAGAAAAAAGAGTATAGAAGGTTCAATCAGATCACTCTTAAAGGTGCCATAGTTGAATTAACAAAAACAGATAAGAAACTTAAGAATTTTCTGTAAAGAAAAAGAGAAGTTTTTGAAAAAAAATATTATTGCCTCATCTAAAAGAAAAAAAATACAAAAAAGGAAAAAAAAGAGCAGTTAATATAGAATTATTGCAAAATCAACTAAAGAAAAGTGAAAAGAAAAAAAAAAAGTTGCATGTTACAATATTAATAGATTAAAAATCAAAGGTTGAAAACTTGAAAACCTGCTCAGCTAGGCAAAAGAAGAAAAAATTATAATACTAGAAATTACTAAAATGAATTTTGCAGAAAAAAGAACAAAAAGATATATTGGTTATTGAAGTAGTGCAGAAACAAAAAAAAGAAATTAGGTGTAGGGATGTTAATAAAAGAACAATAGGCAAACATATAGGCATAGTTAAGAAGATAAATGAGTATATAATAAAAATCACATTATACTTTAAACAAATAGAATTAATAGTAATAGGAGTCTATATATTACCAAATGACAAAGAAGTAAAAAGAAACATTTAACAAAAAAAATAGTAAAAATTATTACAAAAAAGAATAGATAAATACAAATAGTAGGGTGTGGCAGCCTAGTGAAGTGGTCAGGTTGTCAACTTTCCAAGTGGTAGGTTGGGTGTTCAAACCTCATTGATGGTAAAAATTTGGATAATCACCTATATAATATTTGTATTATGGCAACTGTTACTAATAATTGGGTTAGGATACCTATAATGGTGGTCACACCAGCATGACTGGCAGGTTATTGGGCATCTGTGTAAGTATGGCATTATACAGAGAAATGCAAACTGACAAATCAGGCAGTGCAAATACTAGATAAGTCCTTGTAGCCATATAAATCTGTTAAAATTAGGTAACAAGAAATCTATTTGAGAAGACCTGAGTAGAGAGATAGCTGGATCTTCAATATTCCTACTGTAAAGGCTAGGTTGAGAAAATGGATACCAAGGTTGTAGTACCCAGTCGTAGTAGCTGGATAAGCAAAAACCTCTGGGTTGGAAGTCTTGGGGGTACCACCAACCAGGCTGCCAAAATGAACTATAAAAAAAGAATATCGGGCCAACTCAATATACTGATGGACTGGTTGTAGTTCTACATAGGTTATCTGGATTGGGAGTTTGGTAAAAAGGCAGGTGAAAAGGCAGAGGTATACTAAAGTACCAGGGTTATGCTATAAAATAGATGCTGGAGTCTAAGTGAACTCTACAAGGGCATAGCAGTTTAATGGTTAGTCCTAACTGCAAGTGTTAGTTCTGCTATAGCAATACCTAGATCAGTTGTAAAAATGGGTACAGAAGGCTCTAAGGGGTTTACCTCAAGAATAAATTAGTCCTAAGATTAAGATGATGATTTGGGCATCTAGATATGACCCAGTGAGTTAAAACAGGTTATAGGTTCAAAGAGTTTAAAGTAAAATACCCAAGCAGAGATGTTAAATACAGCAATTGGTAGGAATCTTTTAGGCAGACTTCTTAAATAGGTAATATAGAAAAGTTACATATGTAGCTAATTGTACTCTTTCCTGTAGTGGTTCATTGAACCACAATACTAATAAATGATTAATAAAAGTCAAAAGACCAAAAAGGTCATCTTAATACCAAAAAAAAAAAAAACCACAAATAGTAATTATATTAAATTTTAACTACATAGTGAACAATATTCTAGATAGGCAGAACTCATAAGCTGCAAGCTACAAAAGATTACTATTATTTAGTTGAATAAAGAGACAAGACTTTTACAATATATACAGAGAAATGCATTCAACTGAACAAAGATACATATGATTAAACTTAGAAACAGTAACAAGAATTAACTACATATGGATATTAGAAGAACTAGCTTCAGGTTTACAAAAAGCAGAAATTAAAAACATAGAAGAAATCACTGAAAGTGATTGCAAAATAGTAATAGCAAAAATATAGATAAAATATATAATCACAAAAAGTAGCAAGGCAGAAATTAAAAGAAAGAGCCAATCAAGAACAATATATCTCTATGATAAGGCAAAAAAGAAGAAGTAAAAAAGTTATATACAAGAGTTACAAAAGTAATTAGAAATAAAAAAAACTTTGAGAAACATATAAAGAGAAAAATAAGAAAAGAAAAAGAAAATACAAAAAATTAACAAAATATAAGATGTAATAGAAGAGGTAATTATAACAGCAGCAAATAAACATATACCAAAAAAAAAGGTCTACAACATGATAATAAACAGAAAAAAATCAATAGCAAGAAAAAATTATCATAAAGCTTCAAAGACTAGTTAAGTATGCAAAAACAAAAAAAAGAACAGAAAGTGGCAGAAGTAAATAAAAGTGAAGTGAATAGAAACCTCAAGATGCTTAGCAAAAAAATTGATGCAAGATTACCAAAAATCTAAAAACAATGGTCTAATGCTTGGATAAAAGATATAAAAGGCTAGTAGAAAATTTTATAAAAGAAAAAAAAGAAAAAATAAAAACAAAAATAAAGAAAACAAATAGAAGATAACATAAACAAAAGATATGAAATAATCAAACTGACTAAGAAAAAATAATAGCTAGCCTTTTAAACAAGCCATACAAGAAAGTAATATTTGACAGAATTTTTACTTTAAAGGAAGCATTCTTGTTACAGGTCCTGTTTTTAGAAGACTAGAGGCTATCTTCTAACTGAGTTGCTACTGGTTTGATTTCTAATTCTTTCTGTTTAGTTGTTTCTATAACACTTAGAATTATAATTTCTTGCAAGGTTTTCTGACTCATCTTGTGCTTTCTTTTATCTGACACTTCTATACAGTTATCATCACTTACTAATAGCTTCTTGTTTTATCTATTAGTTCTGTTTGTTGTACTAATACTTGATACTTTCTTGTGTCTGGTGTTTCTATTTGCTCTATGCTCTTGTTTACTTTTATATCTGTCATTATTGTATCTTCTGTTTGTCATCTTTTCTTTGATATTGTACTAGAATAATTTTCTTCATTTTTATTATTTTCTTTGATCCCTTCTATCTTGTTCTTTTTTTTTCTTATTTCCTCTTTGTTTAAACTTAATATGTAATCAACTGAGTCTAGATTTTGGCTTGCTATCTTAATTTTATTGACCCAATCTTTGATGGTTTTTTTTGGTACTGTTTTAACTTCTTCTGATACATATCTCAGGGCTTCGAGTATTTGACTGTATAGTAGAAGATCTTTAGTTGTAATTTTTTGATAATCACCAAGAGCTAAGTTTTTTGCTATAGTTTCTAAATCACTTAGTTCTTTAGTCATAGATGTTTCTAAGATGCAGTTTAATTTACTGCAATTTAAATATCTACGTAGTTTGTTACCTATTT